TTTTTTTTTTTTTTTACTTTTTTTTCAAGTTAAAATAGTGATATTTTTTATGCGATTTGAGATATTTGGGTGGTGTAAATGTAAAAAAATAAAATTTAGGTGTTAGATGTGTAAATATTTAAGAAATATGCGGTATGTAGCTTGTTTTGGCACTGATGCAAATTTAATATATAATAATTAACGCAATACAAAGTCAATGACAATTAGCCTTGAGGGCACGGCATCCTCACACTTTTTCCATGAAGAATGGTGCAAGGAAAGAAAAAAAGGGCTATGGAAGATTTACATGCATTCCGCATAATTCTTATATTTTTACATGTCCAGCACATAAAATTTGATATTTTATATTAATATCAATTTTTTCTAAGCTTTGATACTTTAATGTCATCTTACCTATGCATCAAAAGTGTATTTCACTTCTGAACAATTAATGGTAGTGATACTTTTGTTGCGACGAGAAAGATTTGAGAGTTAAAAAAACATTTAAAAGTGTTAGATATGCAAATTCATGGTATGTATGTAAATGCCCCCATTTTGTTTATTTTTTTCAGGACTTATTATTATTATTATATGCCAACCTCAATTCCAATGTATTTATATGTCTTAACATATAATATGCCTTTTGGGATCATTTTAAATTTGGAGTTTTTATGTACGGCGCTCGTGAAATAGTAGAATTTATGTATTTTGCACCCCAAACTTTAATGTACTCATTACTCTCTCCATCTTCCTCTCTTTCGTGCTTCCGTCCGGTCGCCGGAGAATCGGAAGCTGTTGGAGTTCATGAAATTTTAGTGTTAGGGTCGATCTAGTCACAGATTTCACCATCCACAAGTCCAGAAGCCTGTTAGCCATGCCCTCACCTCCTATTTCCAATCTCTCACAGGACAGAAGCATCTACACATACCGTTAAAGCTTCGTGTCATTTCGTGACGAACAAAGCTGTCCGAAATTCTCATATTTCTCCTCCTTTTGTCCCTATCCAAAACCATTGTGGAAGGTACATGGATTTACGACAACGGGGAATTTTGGGATTTAAGAAGCTGTAGGATTTAGAGATGTCATTTTTGCTGAGTAAAAATTAGCATTCTAAATGGACCAAGTTTGAGCAACCTTAAACTCGGCTCTTATTCAGCTCATTTGAAGTTAATTCTATTTGAAATTGGCTCGTGAACAGTGGGTTTGTATTTGACTTATTTTACATGATTTTGTTCGTCTTGGAAATTAGTTCACTTAAATTAATTAAAAAAATATATTTAGATTGTTGCATTTGAACTTATACCATATCTATTTAATAAAAGACACATAATCACATGACCAGGAGCTGTTGTGATTGAATCTTGGATATAAATATATATAATATATTATTATATAAATAATATATATAATTTTATATTTCGAGCTAATATGGGCTGAAATGGTTGTTCGTGTTTTGCGCATCTATAGTTTGAGCTAAAAAAATTTGTTAGCGTTTGGCACGCTTGATGAACGATTTGAAGATAAGCTGTTCACGATAGATGAGTTTTTTTAACAGTTCTAGGAGAAATGGGATTTAAGATCCTTTAGAATTTTAAGTTGTCATTTCTGCTGGTTGGCGGGATGGAAGGAAGACAGAGATGAGAGTTTTAGAGGTCTCTGGACGTCGCAATCTCCCATTGTTGTGGTAGGAGTGCAAAGAAATGACCTACATCTGTTATTTCCATGTCTCGACGGCTGTTACGAATGGGAAGTAGACGAAGTGTGTAAACCATAATTTTAGAGTTTCACGTTGAAATACATAAATTTCACTTTTTTGCTTGCGTCATATAGAGAAAATTTATTTTATTTTTATTTTTATGTTTATATTTGAAATAAAATATGTTTTATATTTTATAATATATTTAATTGTTTTTAGAAGTGTTCAAAATAATTTTTAGATATTTTAGTACAACAACAACAATAACAACAAAGCCTTAGTCCCACAATGTGGGGCGGCTACATGAATTCTCCATTGCATCCTATTTAGTGTCATATTTTCATGTAGTTCTAATAAATTAAGATCATTTATTATGCAATGAGCCCAAGTCTTCTTAGGTCTACCTCTGTCTTTCTTAACATGAGTCGAATCAAAAACATCTACTCTCCTAATTAGGTCATCAGATGGTCTACACGATGTGGCCTAACCATCTAAGACGACTTTCTGTAATTTTGTCCGTCACAGGAGCTACACCAACCCTATCATGGATATATTCATTTTGCATTTTGTCTCTAAGTGTAAAGCCATGCATCAACCTACTCATTCTCATCTCGACAATACTTAACTTAGTATCATGCTTCTCTTTTAAAGGTCAACATTCAGTGTCATAGTGCATTGCAGGTCTCACCACGTCTTATAAAATTAAGCGCCATAGAACATTCAATGACATAGATATTTGAGTATTTTAAAAAAAATAAAATAATTTATTAAGCTAATTTATTTTTAAAATTAATGTAAAAAACAAAAATAAAAGTAAAAATGAATCGAAACAATTTCTAAAATTTACTTTTTATATTTATATTACTCAAAAATTTCCCATACAACAAAATATTATTATTTTAACTTCTAAAAAATTTAAATATATGCAAAATGAAACTATTTTTATGCACAAATTAATGGGGTGCATATGTAAAACTAAATTTAGGTATTAGATATGTAAATGCATATGGATGAAGCGGTATGTATGTAATTTAATTTTTTTTGGCTTATTTATAACAGAAATTAGCGAATTGAGCGTTTTGGACCCATCTTTTTGTTGAAGATTACTCTTTCTATAAATTCTTCTACAAATTTTCATTGATTTAGTGGTTAAATATGAAGTAATAACGATCAAACTTTTTTTTTTAAAATCTATTGTTTTATAAATTATAATTAGTTGATAACTAATCATTAATTAGTAGTTTATAAAAGAAATTTCATATAATAAATTTTATTTAATTACATTGATTTACAAATAATGTAAACATTTTTAATTAATGCTTTTTAGTTAACTAATATTATTTATTAGGATTTAAAATTAACTTCATATATTTATTCAAATATTTTTTACTTAATATCGAACCGTGGATTTAAGGCAAAATGGAGGAGAAACGAGATTCAAATCTCTATAGGATATATTACAGTAAAATAAATATAAAGTAGTCCTTTTTTATGGATTTTCAATATCTTTAATAGATCATGTTTGTCATATTTAAAACTCACCCAAATTAGGGTTTGTTTGGGGCAGCTGCAGCTTATCCAGCTTTTGTTGATAAGCAGCTTATCCTGATAATCTACTGATGAGCAGCTGATTCGGATAAGCTGGCTGACTATTTTGTTTGTGCGTTTGAAAAATAACTGATTTTGGATAAATGACTATTCTGCCCCTGTTGTGGATAAACTGTTTAGCTGTTTGGTTTGTGTGTTTTGTAAACAACTTATTTGCAGACTTTTTTAGTTAAATAAACAATCTGTCGTGCATAGTTTGTAATTTTCTAATTAAAATTAAAGTTCAAATATTAAGACATGAAAATACAAAAGAGTTGAATTACATTTATATAACTTAAAAATTTTTTATCACATCAAAGAAGCATAATTACATATTCAAAAGTAAAATACACTTTCACATACTAATATAAGCATGTATTGCCCAAGCTAATATAAATCCAACCACCAATTGCTGCTAATATAAGCACATGTTTAAACTCCCCAACTCTATAACCATTCTCATTCTTAGCATTAAACCCTTACAGTTCTGGAAGTGACATTAATTTCCAGATTTAGATACAATAACTGTCCCATGAAACCAACCGACAGATATACTTTGTTAAAATTCTACACATATATGATTGCCTTTAAGGATAAAGTGAATACTTTGTTATCGTAAGCATTAACTCATAGATGTTTAAGAGATACTAATAAAATTCTGCACATATATGATTGCTTTTAAGGATAAAGTGACAGAAACTGCATATGTACCTACTCACCTAGAGTGTTGTGAGTGTAAATACAGAGGGAAAAGAAATAAGAAATTTGAAATAAGTTGCATATAAAACATCAGAAAAAAAGATGCAATTGAAACAGGGTAATCCAATAGCCACGTGATAAATATTTGAATGCCTAAGTTTGAGTATTAAAGTAAAAAAAACATATAAGGAAATAATCATGTGGTCCTTTTTAGCACAAGGAATCCTATTACAAAACTTGAATGCACAATAGCAAAGCAAGTCTATTAAGTGCTAAACTGTTCTTACATACAACATCTTGGACAGGACTGAAACAAAAAAAAAAGTTTGCAAAATGAAATGGACACAGTTCAAGAACAACAACCATTAACACATAAATTGTTACATGTATGCATTACTAGTGTAGTATTCAGTAACAATTCTAATCAAAAGACCAGCCCATAGTCCAATTGCAACACCAAATAACAACTCCCTGCAAGTTCAAAAGAGGTAAAATGAATATATTCATCAAATCCAAATATCTCAAAACTGATTGCAAACCAGTAGAGAAAAGGGGTTCGCTCCATTTGCAATCAGCAAACCATCCTTCGAATGCTTGCTCTTGCATATTTCAAAAATTCCATCGCCTTTTCTGATTACCCTCACCATTGCTAAGGAAGCAAGACGTCTTATGGGATGCCTGGCTCCCAGAACAAGCAAAGAAAACAAGGCACCTTCGCACTTCCGTTGCCACCACACTAGTATCTCCTGCAATAAAAGAATGACCATACATCAAGAACATAATGCATTAACTGACCCTTTCTTAGGTTTTTTTATCAAAGCAAGACAAATAATGAATTAGATAAAATTACGTAAAAAAAATTTTAAAAAACAAAGCAATAGATCCCGTAAAGTATTAAGCCCTTCATGGCTTTAACAATTTCAACTATCATATGTAAGTTCACGCGGCCACATTGCTGCAGCTCAATCCACTTCATGGTCCAGGAATAAAAACAAAACCAAACAAAAAAATCATTCCCACATGAAGGAATGAAGAGTCTCACTGATCACTTTGAGCAGCGAGACCTACAAAGTTCAACAACCTGAAAATACCGCTGATAATGATTCCTAAAGATAGTGATATTTATAGCTAAAATTGAAACGACAAAGCTGGACAATTGTATGTGGAAGCACGATGATCTGATTAACTCTCGAAATAATAAAAGGTGGGACTGAGATGGATCGATCTTTAAGGCAGAGTCGAATATAAGTCCTGGGACTCTTCTTCAATGGCGGCTACTAGCGCGGAGAAGAGATCAAAGTAGAGGAGCGGGTCCAGGTGTTGCTGAGGGGCTAAGGCGACGATCGTATTTTCTCTCGGGTTCCTTTCTTCCTTCTCAACTGCGAAGGGCACTTACTAGCGCGGAGAGGAGATCAAAGCAGAGGAGCGGGTCCGGGTGTTGTTGAGGGGCTGAGGCGACGATCGTATTTTCTCTCGCGGTTCCTTTCTTCCTTCTCAGCTGCGAAGGGCGCCACTGCGAAGGGCACTGAAAGAATTTTTTGCAAAACGTTGATGGAAGACGCGGGCCGCGGGGTCGAATCCCGCGGCCCGCATATAGTATAAATTGCGAACGATGTTTTCTACCCCGCAGCAGTAACACGTGAAACAAACATTTGCACAGCATTTTCAAAACGCCGAACGCAGATATAAGTTGCCCCAAACGCACCCTTAGTGTGTTTGACATAACAAGGGGCAGATCTCAGATATGGCAGAATGAAATATGAAAGATAGCAAAGGCATTCTAGTATTTATACAAAAAAAAAAAAAAAAAAAAAAAAAAAAAAGGGAACTTGCTTAGATATCACGTAATTTTTATGTATTTAAATATCTACATCTATATTATGACATTTATATACTATTTTAGTACATAATCACATTAAAATATATGCATGAAAATGAATATTTAACTTGAAAAAAAAGTAACAATAAAGTTTTGCTGAAAGACATGAAAATATATAAAAAAAATTGTTGGGATGTAAATTCCCAAATACAAAATGTTGTGGAATATAAATTTCTACATGATACAACACCACCAAACTTCTATCCAAACTCATCTCACTGTAGATAAAATTAATACAACAAAGAAGAAGCTCTCAAGTGTCAGGCTTTCCAAAACCAGCAAAAAAAAAAAAACAAGTATAATTACATTTCTGAAATCTCTTCAACTTCTTCAGGCAATCCATGAAGAGGTGCTAACTTACTGGCCGTCGGAGTACCGGACAAAGAGGAAACATTGCTGAAAACACTACCATCGCCGGAAGTGTGCGGAGTATCCTTACCCGAACTTGAATCCAAAGCATATTCCTCAGCATGCTGTGAACCATTCAATGCACGGCAGTGTGGACAATAATATGTAATATAAGGAAAATCCTCCTTCCTGGCCAAACCTGTATTTAAAGGTGTTCAGAACAATATAATGTTACAGCTACATTGTTTTAAGATGTCCCTTACCATTGTGCATATGGCAGCTGCCACAAATGAGAGCATAGCATTGGGTCGGATCCTCGCCCACCAACAGAGCAGCAATTCTCGCCAGCCATCCACTTTCGCTAGGGTTTGGTCCCTGGTAATGTTCAACAAACTTCTGATTTTGTAAGTCAGCATCGTGTTTTTCATTGTCGTAGCCAATGGATGGATCATCAGCAAACTGCTGTGAAGTTCCTGTGCTGTGGCGCCTTGAATGAGATGGTTTCCTGTTTCGAAGTCCCTTGGATTGCACCAACTCCATATCATTGCTCTTACCTGCTGCCATGTTGCCAGCAACTGTAGAATCATCTCCTAAGAAGACCTTCAAGCCAGAGTCTGCTCCCAGCTTTGATGCTAGGATGGTTGCTGCCGCAGCTTTAGCGGCAGGATCCAGGTCATACCTCTGAATCAAACAGCTAAATATTTAGCGCTGAGTGTTTAAAGGCATGTGAACATATAGGAATGATATCAATATTACAATCAAAATGTACCTCGATAAGCTGTTGGGTGGCGTAATAGTTTGTTCTCTCTTTAAGCTCATCTATCTTAGCTTTTCTTTCCGCACGAAGTCTCTCTAGTGTGTTCTGATCCTTCCGTTCGACTGCAAGGACAATGATAAGGTGAAAAATACATACACACACACATATATATATATCTAATGATCAAATTCAGATCAATATTTTTGCCATCGTCTTGCAACACACACATAATGATCAAATTTACATCAATATTTTTGCCATCATCTTGCAACGCACAATATTACAACAATATTACACATTACCAAATAAAAAGGAACAAAGAGATCGTCATTCAAATAGTTCATCAATTTCCACATAAAACAAAACTGGGTTTATACCAAGAGAAGAATGCGTATTAAAGAGATGGGAAACGTAACAAAATTCAGAATCAATCTATTTCCACTCTTTTCTTCTTGACTTCTACAAAAGTATAAAAATGCCTTGCAGATAAACTAGATAATTTAAAAAGAGCTGTTCAGTAAACAGACATAAAACTAAACGTGAAATGAGTAAATTGCATCAATAAAATCAAAAACAGTCTGTGAGGCATGCAATCAATCTTTAACAGCTAAAGCAGCCTACACAAAAACAAAAACATATTAAAGGAAGTTGTGATTTTTTGCGCCATTTTGATACCAAATTTGTAAGTCAAGAATTGTTATAAAAAGAACAACATATGCAGAACCACCTAAATGCTAAAACAAATACTATCCCAAACGATATCTTATTTTTTGGTGGCTATTCATTTGTTCACAATAAACGGAATTTCCTCAAACTATAAGTTCTTCACCTTTCGCTTGTTTGTGAAAATACAAATATGATGCCCGGCTTCCATAAAAAAAAAACATAACTCTAGAATATCAATTTATGGCTAAATACATCGCAGTATTGATGCTATGGACGAGAACAAATACATTTATAATACATGGAGATGTGGGGCATATTGGAATGGCAGTATGGATGCTATGGACGAGAACAAATACATTTATAATACATGGAGATGTGGGACATATTGGAATAGTGCATGCTTAAGAATTTTAACTAAAATAATTGATATCATGAGATTCAAATGATCAGAAATAAAAAATCAGCATCAAATTAAAAGAATGAAGAAGCATTTCAAAGATTATTATAAATATAGCATAATCTTATATTTAAGTTATATAATGGATCTATGAATGGAAATGATGAGTGGTAGAAACTGATAATACAGGAAACTTGATTTGGTTTTATGATAAGATGACCAAATATGGAGATGATTTTTATGCTCAAGCAATTGATAGATTAAGCATATAGAATCCTTAAAGACCTTTAAGCATATAGAATCCTTAAAGACCTTCGTATGACTTATATTAACAATGAAAAGGCATATGATCAAAAACTTAAAGCATAAATTGCAGAAAATTATGGATAAAAAGTGTACGATAAAGGTATGTTAAAGTAATATAGATATAGCAATGAAACAAGTATCGAAATTAAAAATAGATGCACAGTGACAAAAAGACATTCAATCATACTACTACATCAAACATGATGATTAAGTCTACATATTTTATGAATTCATCACAGAGATTTTATCGATAGATAACTTCGTAAGTCAGTATTTTATCGTAGTCTCAGCAAATTATGACAAAATGAAAAAGTAAAATGATTGAAATTTTAGGGCACATGGCTTTGGATTAGTCGAACAAAACATGTGTAGTTGGATCACAAATTCAAAAAATCTAGAACTATTAATTATCAAACAATATTGGAGGTGCAAGGGATACATTGTTGTATAGGTTTACATATCCCGACTCTTTTGCACAAAAAGAATAATATACAAAGGAAAAAAACTTGTAAAATTAAAGAGGGGTGGTTAAAATGTAGAAGCTTTGAAAATACAATACGATAAAGGATATAATGATTAAAGGTAAGTTTTTTTTTTTAAATGACCAATTATGCTATGGATACGAGAATTGAGGCAAAAGCTAGAAGTGTTTTGGATATGTATAATAATGTATATAATTCAGCAATAATGAGGGGGGAAACAACAAGATTCGGCATAGGAAGGAATAATAATAGACCAAAATAACTTGGCTAGAAGTTATGGTTCAAGTTTGCCATAAACTACAGGTAACATGGTCACACCAAGCAAATTAGGTTAATGAAGATGAATAGTTAATAAAGCAACCTCAGCGATGATGATGAATATAATGGTTTGAGAACTAGATTCGTGCTACAAATAAATCTTCTCAAACCAGTTTACAAGGAAAACAATCTACTATTTAAACTGACAAGATTTCTGTCCACCAAAAAGTCTATAAACTTCTTTTCCAAGCAATCTTTGTATGGTCCTATTGAAAACTGTATGAATAAATTCCACAATACAAACTAGGTTACTCTAAAAAACAAAATCAAAATTAGGAGGCAAGTCCTCACTGCAAAACAGACCATTCAGAGTTGTATATCCTTTAAACAGATAAATAATTTTTAGGTTCAACTCCTTCACTCACAGCTCAACAAATAGAGTTAACAATGTGAAAAAATGAGACCCCAAAGAAGGAAGCATAAGATTGAAAAAGGAAAAAGAGGAAACCAGAAATAAGCAGTTTCAATAATTGATAACTAGCAAACATGGCGGAAAGAAAGAAGAAACCAGAAAATTATCTGTTACAAAAATAGATATATTACAAACAACATAACCCAATGGCAATGAACAGTCAAGAAATTTAATCCAACGCTTGAGTAGAAGTACTTACGCATCCTTGTGAAATTTGTCAATGCTAAGTAAATCAGAAGTGATGCGACAGGTAAGGCAAACATAGGTAAAACCCTTAAAGCCCTCATCTTCCAGTCCAGATCCGGTGACCTTGTTGTCATAATCGCGTAAGTCACCGCAATTACCTGAAAAACGTCAGCAGTCCAGTCAAAAGTAAAAAAGCAAAGAAGATATTACAAAGAAAAAAGCGGTACACACGGCATGTCCTTAAAAATCAAGAGAATTTGCATGTCTGCTAAGCGCAGACCTCACCGGTAGAGGTAGATGAATAATATAGTAGCATGTGAAATGATGAACACCATACATCACATGGTAACATTCTAAATGAAGACTAATATGAGATGATAATCATCTGAATGCATACCGCTTAGAAGCCTCACAAAAACCATCTAAGAATGTATCATCAACTCACCAGCGGCATTATGGCGTCAACTTGTGAAACCAACATCTTCTATTTCTCTTACCCTTTTTTTTATTCATTTATACCTTCACTGTTAACCCTTTATTGTTACAGATCTTAACAGGAGAGGCCACTAGGAATTTTCATTGAAGTATTTTTTATGATATGTCTATTTTCTTCAACTATATGGAACCAACAAAAAAAAACCTTAAGTTTCTGATGATCATTGCTCATCAGTATGCTGATTATTTCTTGTTTAAGAAGTCATATAAATGAGGTGTATCTAAATTTTTGGTGCAGGTCAAGTAAGTTTGCAAAGATTCTCATTCATATTCGTTTATAGATTTTTTTTTATATCAGTCTATAGATGTGTCAATTTAGTATTATCATGTTTCGGTTATGTTAGAAAAGTATTATATGCCGTATAAATATAATAAAGGCACATGATTCATTTCCTTAAAAGTTATTGCACTATAGTGAAAGTATTGTAAGCCCTAAATCTATATAAAGAGTGTTGACATTGTATGGAGGGAACTTTATCATTCAATGAAATAGTAATTTCATGATACTCTCTTACCCTTTTTTTCACCTCTTGACAATCGATTATGGTTCTCTCTCTCCTTTTAGATTCTGATGAAATTTCATCTGGTTTATAGTCATGTTACATCATTTGGTATTGAAACCAAATAGTCCTCACCAACTCCATAGAACTACTTCTTTATGAATCCAATCCATTAGCAAACAACTATTTTCTCATCAAACCCACCTCAATCAACCATATTTTTCCTTTTGTAGTTTCACAGTTGGTGTTTCCTTGTATCATGGAGCAACTATATCATCAATAAATTACTTTTTTGGATGCTTGAAATATATGATATTATATGTTTTTGTAGGTACATCAGAGAATACAAAAGGGCTTATTATCATCATAATATAAATGATATGATTATGATGAATATAAACTTTAAAAAACAATACTCATATCACAAAAGTTCACACCAGATCTTATAAAAATAGATATTTACATCAAACATGAATATTATTCTAATGACATCGATCATCAACCACAAGATGTAAATAAATTTGGTGCCGAGTCAATCTTCTCCAAATTTAAACAATGTTACAATTCATTTAGGCATTTTCAATATTGTTATAAATTGCTTCAATAAGACATGCAAGTAAATAATTTTAAAATTTGAAAGTATGATTGGTATTCTAAGATCTCATGAAACACAACATAGTTCTAAAATTATAAAGAAGGTCTTGCACAATTGCAATACAAAATCATTCAAGTAATAGATGAGAGAAACATTATAGATCAATCGAACATTACTATAGTGCCTGAGATCATATTAGATTCGGAACTCAAATCTTCTATAGTAATTGATGATGAACATGAGTTTGTGTTTGCACTGCCTACACAGATTGTTAAGTGCCCAAAATCACCGCATATGCCACCAGAGAATAATGCATACTCTCTAGTAATGATTCCATATTTTGATATTGAGTTTGTACTTCCACCTCCACCACAACCATACTATCTAAAGACTATATATTTTAATTTAGTTCAAGAATAACTCTAAGTTGCACAAACTTTCATAAAATCTTTTATTCTTCCTTCTACATAGCTTGCTATTGAGTTTGTGTTACACTACTATGTTGTTGAGTTTGTGCTACCATTATTACAAACTAGCATCACAAGGTTTGACTTAACTACATTCAACGTCAAGATAAATATTTGTCTCACCACCGCCAAAATCATTAGATATATTTGTTGTGCTCCTCATATCCTCAATTATTGATTGCATATCAACACACAAGCCCTTTTGTCTCCACTGCTACCATTATCATCTTTTAACCATAGAAGAAGAGCTTCATTTAGATATAGTGAAAGATATAGGATAAATAAGGTTGCCAAGATTTTCTTTCATTATTTAAATATGAAATCAATACTAACGATCGTGCATTATTTTCCGGTGACATATGAAGTAGTTTTGATCCCTTAATAATCATTGTAAGCAGTGTACACTAAAGCTCTTATTCATCATGAATTACTATAGAAGATTTGAGCTCCAATTTGGAATGATCTCAAGCAATAGAGTAATGTCTGATTGATCTACAATGTTTTCCTCACTATCACTAAAATGATTTTGTATCACAAATGTGCAAGTCCCTTTTTATAATTTTAGAACTATGTTGTGTTTCACGAGATCTTACAATGCCAGCCGTAGTTTCGGCATTTAAAATTATTTTCTTGCAAGCTTTATTAAAGCAATTAATAACAACATTGAACACGCCCAAATGAATCATATCATTATTTAAATTTGGAGGAGTGATTCGGACCTAAATTTATTAACATATTGTGATTGATGGATCAATGTCATTAGAATGATATTCTTGTTTGATGTAAACATCTATTTTTATGAGATATAGTGTGTGAACTTTTATGATATGAGTTTGTTCTTTTTCTAAATTTGTATCCATCAAAAGCATACTATTTATACTATGATGATGATAACCCTTTTTGTATTATTTAGTGTACTCATAAAAGTACATAAATCATAAATTCAAAGCATCCTAAAAAGTAATTTATTGACGACATAGTTGCTCCATGATACAAGAAGCTTAAACTGTGAAACTATAAAAGACAAAATATGGTTGATTGAGATAGATTTGATTGGACAAATATTTGTTTGCTAATTATGGGTTGGATTCATAAAGAAGCAGAACGATGGTCATTTCTGCCTAAAATTCAGCAATTCAAAAATTACAAATACCGAAAGAGATCAGGATATTGACCAACTATAATTTCTATGGAGACAGGTAAATTTATCTTTAAATCATCAATCTAAAAACTAGAATTGATCATCAAAATTTGTAACACTAAATAGGAACATGAATTTTGTGAAAAAACTGAAAAGAAATAAAGAATTGCTAAGCTGGTAAAGAATTGCTAAGCTGGTGCGTGCAATTCCTAATAGCAATTTTCTCATACAAGAGACCTAAAAGACTAGGAGAGTTCGTTCTCAAATACAATTTTAAAGAATTAATCTTCATTGTGATTAATTTATTCTTAAAGTTAACAAGCAATCAAGGCAGTAAGTAAATAGAGGAGAACCGGTAATTGGTTTAACACATACCATCTACAAATTTGACCGAGAGACATTCACCAAGATTGATAAAAACAAAAAAGTAACCTAATTTATGCACAAAATGCTCAATAGAAGATTCAATAAACCCGATCAAAGCCCTAACCATCCAAGCAAACAACAAGCACCAACCGCTTCGCATATTGCGTAAAATACACCAACAAACTGAAAAATAGAAAATAACCGTGCGCACCTCAAGAACAAACGAGAAGACGATAACATTCCTCGTCATCCTGCGAGACCTTAGAGCCCTCCTCTTCATCCTGGCATGGACGGACGCCTCCTCCTTAGAGAGGTAACTCAACCGCTTCTCATAGTCGTCGTTCCCTCCACCGAAGATCCCCCTCAACAGACGGCCCACTAATCCACTCCGCCGCTGTTTCGATTTGGCAGTTGTGCCGCTCTTTTTCGGCGGATTAACCACAGAGGAGGAGCTCGACAGATCGTCCCCTGCCGCTGCGGTGTCCTGGTCTGCCATATCGGTAAAGAAGGGAGGAAAAAGTTCTGGAAAATCTGAGGAACAAGAGATGATAAATTGGTTTTCGATTGATTGTCGCTTAGGCGGAGAGAAGAGGAAGAACAGCGAAATCGTTATAGGAAGAACAAGCGATGAGAAATCGTTTGATTGCCGCTTGGGTTCAGGTGTGGCTATTGGACCTGCCTCATAAATAGCCCTGCCTCATAAATGGGTGTAAATGAGCCGAACATGAGCATGAGCCCTGCCTCATAAATGGGTGTAAATGAGCCGAACACGAGCGTGTTCGGCTCAAAGTGTGTAAAAAATACCACTGTTTGTGCTCTGTTCATTTATATTTCGAACAGAAAATGTGTTCGTGTTTGACTCTTAATCTTAACGAGCAGAATACAAGTTGTTTGTGAAAGAGTCGTTTTGACAACTCTTGACACGCAACCGTAAGATATTAATGATCGAGGCAAGATTTAAGTCTTATTAGTTATATTTAAATATTATTTAGCTATAATTTAATATATTATTATTTTATTTTTAAAATGACTAAATTTAATTGATTATAAATCTTTGTAGGCTTATGGGCATATAAAATTTTTAAAAAACTACCCATTAAGATATATATATATTCAGAAAGCCCAAAGGCTAATGTATTAATTAGAAAGAAGGATAACGAGCCGAACACGAGCTTCTTAACGAGTCGAACACGAGCTGTTCACGAACAACGAACCGTTTTGACAGCCCTACTCATAATATCTAAGTTTTTTTTATTGGTTTTAAAAAAAATTACATACATACCACATAATTCTTATTTATTTATATATCTAACACATTTAAAATTTTATATTTACATATATAACATTATTATGTCATAAATCTATACTTGTATAAAATTCATCAGAGTCTATAAGATCCCGGATTGTTCTGGTTGATGCTCCAACCTAATTAATTTAAACAAATGATAAAACTCCAAGAAAAAAGATAGATGACAGTGGAAGCTGAATTCCCAAATGAAGGAGTCAAGAGGGGACTCGAACCCTTGGCTCTACCCGTCATTTATTATTTATAAGTTATGGTTTGAGTTCTCTGAGTGCTACATAAAAGATTATATAGCAAGCAATATACATGTAAGAAAAGGCTTCAAAAAGTACAGGTGACTTGTTGGCTTGATGTAAGCCTGAATTAGGTGAGGTTGTTGACTTATTGAAGAGGTCATATATTTTTCAAACTAACTGGGGCGCATCTACTTTATGAAAACTGCATTGCATGAGAAGTAAAGCAATCTTGATGCCATAATGGATGCCTCATTTGAATGAACACACAAGTTTGCCACATTGCCAACATATAGAGTGCTCGAGCTCGACTAGACAAGCCCGTGTTTTTGGTCCCGCATGCGAGATGCTCCATCAAATTCAACAAATGAGTATATATTGAGTTTAGTTTGGTGATGTGGTGTTCAGTTGTGGCTATTGGGTCTCCATCGGAGGTATGCATTTAGTTCTCTGATTTCCTTACTTATTTGCAAGTCAACTATGAGAAAAGCAAGAGAATGGGAAATCATTGACCAATTCTCAGTGGATTTAATACTTTATTCACCATCATTCCTAAGTCAGAGCTTTTGATGTCAACTCAGCTTTGTATTCAATTTATAGTGATTCATTATTTTTATTTCTTGCTTTTATTGAACTTGGGAAGAGCAACTAAGCATATTTAAGAAATCTCAAAGTGTGTTCTAGCTCATGTATTTTGACGCATTTGTCATTTACTCCATGTTCATATGGATTTCTCTCTTGTAAATTTCTCATCTCTCTACAAGAGTTAGTTTGCATTATAAATTCCATCTTTCATTGATGTCTATGTATAGTATTTTATGATCCTTGGACATTAAAGATTTTGAAGTTGGTGATGATGCGGTTACAACCATGATGCTAGAGGACTGCATTGTATCTACTTAGGAGAGGAAGAAATGACAGTTGGTTCTTGATGCATGTTTGAAGACTCACAGTGATAGAGTAATGAATTATTGTCTTAGCGTTGCACGAGAATTCAACACACACTAAAATAAAAGAAAACAACCAGTAGATAAACCATAAATTTTTACGTCATAAATTTGGAAAGGAAAAAACTGTGAGGCCTAGCCTAGCTAAAAAAAGCTACTATAAACTGAAGATTATAATTATGATATCTTGTCTGACAGACGGAAAAAGGTTACAGTCTCGCGAGTTACAACATTAATGCACGGAGGAACTTGTCATAAGAAATGAGTGGTGATCGATTGTGATTGATGATGGTTGACAAGTGGTGGTCGACGGCGGTAGTCGCGTTGGTCGGCGGTAGTCGACAGTGGTCGATGGTGGCGGAGTGATGCTAGACTCAGCTCCTTCTCTTCCTCATGCTCTCTTTCTCTCTCTCCTCTCATGAGAGGGATGAGACTTTATTTATAAAGTTCTAGGTGCAATTAATGCAGGAATATGAACCACTTTGATCAGACGATCCAGATAGTTTTCTTTGATCAGATGACATTTGATAGATATTTGAGTACCTTAATAACACCAGAATTGAGTGATCTTGTGCTCGTTCTATTCGTCCTGCTGAGATGCTCGATTCAATTATAAGCTCGTCGAATTCGATTATCATTTGACATTACAAATTTGTCCATAAAGCTTCCAAAAATGGTTTAATGGCTTGATCACAGCTTTATTTAACTAGGATTAGACCCATTTTAGTATCATTAGGCATGTCTTGTCGAGTCAGTCAGTTCGACTGTAAGTTTGTTGAAATTGGAGCTCAAGTGTTTCTTGCTCAAAAGCTTGCATCGAGATCCATGCTATGCCTCGAGATTTGTCTTAGATGATGGAGATTTGTTGAAGGAGTGTCAGTTCTAGTGCCACAAAGACGAAGAATGTGAAAGTGATAGCTTCAATGGATGAGTTAACTCTATAATAGCCTTATTAGGAGAGTCCACATGCATATCTATTGGTACAAGAATGATGTTGTGAAGTTTGGGTTGGTGAGTTGAGAAAACTTTGTGGATCGATCTACTACTTTATTTTTAACTTTATATTTCTTTGTTTTTAAGTTAAAAGATGAGCACGAGGTACATAATATATTGGTCCCTCATTACTATAAAGATGCCACCACAATTTAAGTTCTCGTCAATGGTGTTGTTCAGAGAGATTCACGTTCCCTTAGTGAATATTTCACTTTATTAAAGTCTTGAGCTAACTAGGCTCCATGATATGGTAGTCACTTCTATGGGTAGTGAGGTTCTAAGTTCATTGAAGCCATCCCAAAATGCTAAGAACATTGTTGTCAAATTATCCATGTGCATTTTACCCACAATTGTTAGGCTGGAGAGTGGTCATCCTTGGATTATTAAGGGGCTACCGTATAAATACTTCATCAACATTGTTGACTTGAGAGGAAAGATAAAGGAGAGGTTCAAAAATAAACAACTTGACTAAATGGAGGCAAGACTAACAGAATCAACTATAATTTGTTAGGGCAAGTTGTCAAAGCATGTTTCTTAAGTGGTGTTAGTGCATAAAAGGTTGGTCGTGTTGGAATTGTAACATGTTCACTAAGTAAGGTTTGTCATTTGAACGAGGGACTTTGATGTCTAAAGGATAAAGTAATCATACTTTGGCATACTCTAAAGTTGCTCTTTTTAGAAACATTTTTAAGTGGAATGCAACTTGGGTATCTATTAGTTGATAAAAACTATATGTTTATTTATAAAATTGTTAGTCAATTTTGTTTTTTCTTTATTTGGTATTGTTGTAAGAGATGACTTTGTTGAGGGACCAGGTTAGCCAAAAACCTATTTGTTATTTTTTTTAGTTGGAACAGATTGGTTATATGTTCCTAATGTAGTTGATTGTTGTGTAATCCTAAATAATGTTTCATTGCATATTTTATTTTTGCTTACGTGATAATCATTTCTCTTTATTTTTTGAGGAGTCTCTAGTTTGTCCATCGTCGTATATTTTTTTTCTTAACAAGTCTCTCTTTTGGATCATGTGAATGATAAGGAGAAGAGAGGAACCATAAAAGCTGGACATGCGACAAAGGCAGACAAACAAGTGAAAGAACATGAAGAACTTTTGTGTGACAAACCTTGTTAGAATAGGTCAAGAATATACGTCTGAACAAGATCAGACTGAAATAGCTTGTGCCAAATATCCGAAAAAATGCCTATTACAAAGATTCAGGTGTGTTTGCTAGTTCTGGGGTCCAGAGTGCTCCCAAGTGGACATATCTCACTTTGTTAATTATATCTTGGGGGTTGCCAAAGAATTCTCTTGATCCAAGAAATTTTCCTTACATTTAAAGTGACAACTAGCACAAGGCTATAAAAGGACAGATATTTCGCATGGGAATGCTCCGATGCTTTCAAAGCTTCCGCTAAGTCGTGGGGCGGAGAGCTTGTCTCTCAGGGTCCCACATGGGTAATGAACTCATTGGCATACATAGCCTACGAAATAACTGAATCATCCAGACATATCTCAATACATCAAAGCACATCCGGACCATAAGGGTAGAGGAGAGCTCATCGACAATCGGGTCGTCAATATATCAAAGATAGCAAAAGGGGCGACGAGGCACAATGAGGGTATTCAAAGGAAAAGAAGAGTAATCCCTAGAAGGAGAGGTAGTCGGGTTAAGATATTACGGACCAGTCATCGCAAACTACTAGGACCCTAAGTCTATCTAGTCGTGAAGATAGTCGACACAACACATATAGGGGATAAGAGATCCCCGGTCAACAATCCATGAATTGAATCGTCCATTGGGACCTCAATTGTTCTAAGGTCAAAGAAACAAAACTCTATCCTATAATTATCAGGTGAAACTCCAAGAGGTGAACTTATACCCGCCGAAGTGGCAAGGATGTCCTTGAAAAGGAAGATAAATGCGAGGTTCAACTACAAAATTAGAAATGATTCCAACAAAAGAACTTGCACCCCATATGGGTTGGGGAGGCTTCTACATTTTAGGGTTTAGGGTTTAGGGTTCGGGGCATTTTATATATGATGGATTCACTTATTATAAAATGAATAATGTATTTACGTTTTAAATAGTATTCAAGTTAAACATTATACAGGAAAATTATTATAACTCTGGAGACCGAATTGAGAACGGCTTTACACTTAAATTGCACTACTTTTTCAGTAAATATAAATATAACAAATTTAAAAAGTCCATTTAAAAAAAAACTATCGGTAGAAAATGACAAAAACATGCATCCTCGTCACGGGCGCCGCTCCCTCGCTGCAGCTTTTTGTTTTTTTAGGCATCACCTCCCCACTAACTACCCCGCATCTCTCTTTCTCAATCTCTCAATCTCGCCAGAGAAACAGAGATGCTTCTGCAAGCAGTTCCGGCGGCCACGATTCTGCTGGCAATGTTACTCTCAGCCCAATTGGCGGCGAATGCGGCGGCGGTACTGCCGCAAGGCAGCACTTCGCAGGTGGAGGATGCGGAGCTATTCCGACTGTACTATGGGCAGAGATTTAAGGTCATCAAGAACTCTGTTGACGGACAGAGCTATCTCCTCATGCAGGTAATTTACTTCCCCCTTCTTCTTCTTCTTCTTCTTCTTTGAAGCTATAGCTGATTGTTCTGTTTGTTTATGTGCCAGAATAATTCGACGATGGCGTTGAGGACGAAATACTGCACTGGACGAATCAAATCCTTTGTTGTTCCGCTCTTTAATTACTCCGTCGACACAATTTCCTTTCCTGGTATGATTGCTGTTTAATTAACTACATACATAACAGTCAATTCCTATGTATTTATATATCTGACTTCTGAACTTGTAATTTTTACATAAATGCCATCTTCATCTCACTTTTCTCTAAAATTAAAATGATGATATTTTTAACGTGATATTAAAATTTTCATGATATAAATATAAAAAATATATAATTTAGGTGTTAAATATGTAAATGTATATTCTAAGATTAGAACCATGATAACATTGTTATTTAAATAACATTTAGGCCAAACAGATCCTAATATCAAATATTTAATTCGGCAAACCAACAATCAATTTCATTGTTATGATCAATATGGAAGCATCGGGGACTATCGGTTGTCTCGTATTTTGATTGAATTCGCAATTTTAACAATTTTAGCCGCATTTATGCTCATAGCGTTTTTTAGTCATCATGTTATCTTTCTAAATGAGGCTATAATTTCTGTTCAATAATGTCTTTATAAAACTTTGTATTTATATCAACAAATAAAATGTTTCCTTTTTTTATGTTTGTCTTCTTATGTTGACAGTGTCCTTCTTTGAGGTGAGGCCCTTCCCGTCTAAATGACAAAGTTGTTACTGGTATTTAAAGGATGGATTCATGCTACAGGTTTACAACAAGCAGAGTTCTTCTTTTCCCCTATTAAAAAAAAAAAAACCTCAGGACAGCTAAAGATGTTTTTTTTTTTCATATAATTTTCTTTTTTTAATTTATATCATGCTTTACATTCTGGTCCGTTTGGGGTAGGTCCGTTTGGGGCAGCTTATAAGTGTGGGCGGGGTTTTGAAAACGCAAATTTTCTTTTTTTAATTTATATCATGCTTTACATTATGGTCCGTTTGGGGTAGCTTATAAGTGTGGGCGGCATTTTGAAAACGCCGTCATACCGTTTAGTTCGCGCGTTTTGCCAGTTTATCCGAAACTACGTTTGGGCTTTTACACTAAACGCGGGCCGCGAGTTGACCCCTGCAGCCGACCCGCAAGTTGTCCCAAACGGACCCTCTGTAAAGATGAGACCTAATTTGAATTGTTTGTTTTTAGGAAAATTTACATACATACCCATGTATTTACACATCTATCACCTAACCTTCAATTTTTTTTTTTTACATTTATGATATTTTATGCTTGAAAAAGTTTACAAAATAAGAAAGAAATTTCTCATTATGAAAAACTTTAATTTGTCAGAAAATATGCTGATTTTTGCTGTTTACATTATATACATATAGTGCTTCTTGGAGCACTAAATGAAGCCTTTATTTACTCTTGCTAAGCCATGAATGGGCCAACTAGCTTCAGCCTTTTGAAGCGTGCTTCAACAAAGCGATGGAGGCGTCAAGCACTTTGCTTCACTTTGCATGTGAAGCGTGCTTTTAAGAACATTGTTATTATTATTATTAAATTGTAAGATTGTATGAATTTTAAAGAAATAAACATGCGAGTAAAAAAACCCGACCCTTCCTTTCAATTAGCAAAGAGAACGTATTTAATTTGATCCACAAATAAGGGTTTGCACCGTTTCTTAACTAAAATTGGAGCAATATATGTTGAGGACTTGATATCATTCTAGGGTTCTTAGGAGGTATGAAAGAATACAAGAAAGGGATAGATAAGAAAAGCGGTAGGGTGGAGCTCGGTTGAAATTTGGCGAGAACGGTGGGATGACTATGAATCGGAAGCATAAAACAATTATTTTCTACTGTCAAACAACAATATGCAGCAAATTGGATGATGAAGGAGGCCGCCAAACATTTGGGAGAGATCGTTACTGTCATCCTATCAGGCTATAAACATATCACCTGAAAGAAATTCAAAGAGAAAGCACTCCAATAGGAAAAATTAGGAGGAAAATCTTCAAATAACATAAACGTAATCAAAAGTCTCTCAATAACCAGATATAAATAGATTATATTATAAAAAATCTAATTAGAAATAGATAAATAGGATATAAATCCTACATAAGCTTCAAATAATAAAATAATAAGAATTAGTATCTGGCGACAGAAATTACGAGTGAGAAGGTCTGTCAGGATGAAATCTCGTCCTGATACTAGTGTGGTCGGGAAACTCTCGCGGGAATCTTGCGATCTGATCCTATGATCACTGGAAGACATGAAGGTAGGCTTACGCCTTCCGCTCGAATGTGATTGCATGTTTCACACACTTGTTCTGCATCATTCTCCGCTAATAGGAGGGGCTTTGCCTTATTCACTTGAAGATTCTGGAAGTGATCTATCACCATCATAACAAAACCACAACCTTGTTGTGTTTGAGGCAGCTCTACTTTAAAATTTATGCTCATGCTCATTCCAAACAGCTCTAAAACACATTCATTATTCCAGAAATTGCCCCAATAAAATAAATTGTCATTCTTTTTTGGTACAACTTCAATGGGAATCACACATTGATGGTTATTCTCATGAATCAAGTCTTGGGTCATTAAATGTAAAATATTTATCCCACTTCTCGTACTTGGCTTAATGCATCTAATAAATAGGTATGTCTGAAGATACTAACTCTGGAATGAAATCTATGATATGATGGGCCATTCTCATTTGCCATCACTCAGGAGATAAACTATCAATCAGGATATCGACAAATCCTTCAACAAGGCGCCCCTTTTTATTGTATTGACTTTTCAGACTCATTGCGTATATGAAAATCAATATTAATCCTATTGGAGTCTTTCTCATGCGCTCAACTTGAAGCACTAGCATCTCTTCCACATCAGCTCTGCGTATAAGAGGTGGCCTCTTGGTGACGTTGATGTTTCTCCATCTTCAAAGCTATGGTCTGAACATCTTGTACTGTGTTATAAAGCTGTAATCGTATCATATTGCCAACGGGCGACCTCAGTCTTCTCAGATATCTAGTTATGGTGTTCTCCTCGGACTCTACTAGCTCAAATTTCAACATAAGTTGTTTGAACTCAGCGGTGTACTCATAAACGTCACTAGGAACATACCTTATATGTAATGAACCGGTAAGTATTTGTGCTATATCGGTACTGATTGCCTTTCCCTTCACGCTGACATGGATGCTTCAATTTTTTCCATCACTATTAGGGGTGTAAACGAACCGAACACGAACAAACAGAGCATGTGTTGGTATTCGATTCATTTGAAATTTAGTTTGTTTGAAATAAGCTCGTGTTCGAAATTGTTCGTGAAGTCAGTATTCGTGTTCATTTCTTAACGAACGAGCCGAACACGAGTTGTTCGCGAACGATGAGCCAGTTTGACATCCCAAATTTTAATATATATAAATAATATATTATATTAATTATATAACTTATATTATATAA